GATTTAAATATATACATGTAGCATGCATACCACTTGATGATACTGTATCATCACCAATTGAAGAAGGATCAGATCCTCCTAATACATTACCAGCTCTCACTGTGATGGTATAGCTCATACCACTGTACAGACCTATTAATGTATAACTGTATATTGTAGGGGACTGATGAGGAGCAACAGAGACTGTCTCATTCACTGATGATAACTGGGGACAAGATGGAGTATAGGAGATGGTGTAGTATGTTACATAGTTGTCACTACTGGGAATAGTCCAGTTCACTGTAATACCAGTGGTTGAGACATTAGATACTGAGAGGCTAGTTACTGGACTAGGAACTACAACAGATTACAATTACACTCTCTCAATAGTAATAACTCACCATCAAATCTTAACACTGTTACTGTACTATTAACTGAAGGAAGATCTATATATGAGTACACACTGATGATATAGGCACTCAATGGTGAGAGGTAAGCTAATACAATATCATCTTCACTGGTAGATACTACATTCCTGGTTACACCTCCAGTAGTATACTCAATGACATATCCATTAGTCTCTGATGAATTGGTCCAGTTCACTTTGATACTAGTAGCGTTTAATATAAACCCTCTCACATTATTTGGAGGACCAATAGGAGCTAGAAAAGACACAAAGTATCATCTACTATTGATTGAAGTATGATCATACCATGTAATATCACAAATTGACTGTAGTTGACTCCTCCAATCATTGCTATACAGGTAACATTAACTGACACTCCCAGTGGATCAGGATATACCAGTAGTGTGTTGTTGTATGTCAGGACATCAATTGATGTATACATTGAGTTACTCTTCATCACTTCATTCACTAACCAGTAAACATCAGTTGAAGGATTTATATCAGTAGTTGTGAGACAATCAATACGATATTGAGTGTTATTGAGTTGTGTAATGGATGAGACTAGTGTCCAATTAATTGAATTAATAACTAGAAATACATCAACAATGTTACAAGTACATTAAAAGGTGCAGTAGCAATACCTGGTAAGGCCTGTACACTGATTGTACTACTAGCAGGTCCCAGTAATTGTTGATAGGCTCTGACTGTGATGCTATAAGTTGTATCTCCTCTCAGTCCATTCAGTGTGATTGTATTATTACTACTTCCCTCCACCTGTACTGTCTGCACAGTGTCTGTGTCACTAGTGACATTGACTACATATCCATCAGCATCAGATGAATAAAGTGCAGTCCAACTGACAGTGATAGTGGTAGCTGTCTTGCTGACCTCAGTAAGAGAAGTGGGAGCAGTTGCTGGTACTAATAGAAAGAGATGCATTATTAGTAGAATTACATGTAGAAGCATAATGTACATCAACATTACCTTTTATGGATAAATTACGTGTTCTATCAGCACCACTTTGATTATCCACTACACACTGATACATTTGATTTCCAGTGATTGATTGACTGATTGATTCACTACTGACAGTCATTCCATCCCATGTGATATCAACAGTATATCTTACTATGTTTGTACCACTAACTAACACAGTACCAGGACAAGGATTACCATAATCATAACATCCAGTGTAATTAGCTAGTGCAGTACTACCAATGCTCATACTAATAGCATACCTAACATGTCCAATTTTAATACAATTCAGTTTGTATTCCTGAGGATATACTGTCATATCAGAAGGAAGATCAGCAACAGTAAATGATTCTATCTGTGCAAAACCTATATACAAGTAAAAAATTAACTTCAAGAGAGTTGATCAGATTATTTTACTGAATATATTAGCAAAGATGATGTTAGTGCTAGGATCTGAACAATCAGTGGGTAGACAACACTTGTACCAGCCATCACCAGGTGCTTCAAGATAGCCATTAACTGGATTTATGAAAACACTGAGACTAGTACCTGACTCAGTAGTACATTGAACATTTGAATTGTTACCACCATCACAAGGAACTACTCCATTAGGACCAATCCATTGTCCACCATTCAGAGTAGCACCAGGTAAACCACACTCTAGTAGAGTCCATCTGATGTTGCTATCCCAAAAATATGATCCATTAGAATAACAGTGTCCATCATACTGCAGGTAGATACCTATAAAAACTTATACAGTTGTTATTTTGCACATCCAGTGTCTTACCTGAGGAAGGTGGGCATTGACTAATAACTTTATTGACAGTGAACAAGAAGAGCAAAATCACCAATGATACTGACATTGCCATCTTAGCAATAGTAAGATAGTAGTCAATAAAAATTATAAAAACTATAAAATCAGTCTACTGTTATTTTTATCAAATTAAAGACAGTTTCTTTTACATAAATAAAGTTCACATCACCATTAAAACTTGTTTACTTATATCCTTAAAATAAGCTCATACAATAACATGTGTATGCTGTGACAATAAACTATATGCATATCACTTAAGTTTTGTATCTCACACTCATTAGTACATGAATCATGGTAACATGAACATCAAATCAAATAAATCAGAAAACCTGCCCCTTTGCACACTGACAGGTTTACAGACTGTATAGACACATCACAGCATAAATATAATCAGAATCATTTGCAGCTTGTCATTCACACCTGGAGATACTGGTAGTGTGAAATATTGCTAGATGTTGTCATTAGAGTTAGACCGTTGGTAGTTGGTACTTGTATTATACAAACAGGAAGAGCCAACAAGCAGACACCAGTTATAATCATGAACAGTGGACAAGTTATTACATTAAGAAATTCTCTTGAAAACTCTGAAACAAAATCATTCTTTGATAATACTTATGGACTCAGCAAAGTCCAATACAATATTATTAGTCCCATTCTGAAACAAGAACACTTTTATGATCATGCAGGATGGTATTGTTGGGTCCCAAGGTGTCCATTGACTAGACAAGTTTGACTGTACGTGTATGAATGCAGTTTAAATATTGGTAGGAACTCTAAAAGTTTGTAAAGAATCCAAATGTGATTGGAATCAGCTCAAAATTAAAACACAACATGATAACATGTATAAATGTATAATGTATCAGGTAAATTATAAAAATGAATAATGTTCTATTCATTTATTTTTGGTAAAATACCCTGTACTGTAAGTACAGGGACTTTGGCCCAATTTTAAAGCAAGTTTGAACATTTTTATGAATTCTAAATGGAATTACAGTTAACTCAAAATTGAAATACAACGTAAAAACATGCATATGCATTAGAAAAAAAACTATAAAAATTAAAAAGTCTCTTCTTTTCATTTTTGGTCAAATTTGACAAATGATACTGTATAGGATTTTGGCCTAAAATTTGTAAAAAATCCAAATGTGATTAAAATCATCTTAAATTTTCTGCATGACATAAAAAACATGCATGCGCATCAAATGTTTTTTAAATGGAGAATTAATTCTCAAAATTTTTGACAAAATATCCTGTACTATAGTACAAGATGATTGTTATTAAACTTTGAAGCAACTGTATCAAAACATATGTACATGTATCATTTAGAGTTGGTAGGAGGTCATTGTGGAATCATACTATTATGATCAATGCTAACCACTGGCTAGAATGAAATCTTGGTAAGTATATAAGTCTTTCCATTAATATGCATATGCTCTCTCTCTCTTTAGATGGTAAATAGGAGGATTAAATCAGATCTTGTGCCACAATCTCAAGATTACACAGTGACTATTAAATGCACTCATAAAATTTTATTCTCTTTAAACACAAACTATGTAATGTATAGCTGTATATGCAAAACAAAAATAACTGCTGCACTAAAACTAGTGAAAATGTTTAAAAAGTTATGTTTAGTATATATATTAAGTAATTCTAGCACATACATTTATTGTGGCATACGCTCATAAACATCATCAGGTGATGTTTGACATTCATCATAGACTCCTTCATTCTCTTCACTTTGTTTAGTCTTGTGAATTTCATATGGTTCACATACTTGCATTGCAATATCATCATAAGCTCTATTAAAGTAGTGAATAGCTTAAAGTAATAGAATAAACTAACTTTGTTTGCTTGTTATAAGTATACAGACTTTTCTTTCTATAAAAAAACAAAAATAAGTTATTATCAAAATTAGATACCTTATAAAGCAGTAGATATGAACAACAACACTGACAGTTAGTAGACCACACAATATACCCACTAACACACTAAGAGCAATGACACTGTCTGATGTAGCACAGTTAGATGATAATTGTAGTGGTAGTTTTAGTGTCTCATTAGCAATAACTGTCCATTCTCCATATCCATTAACAGTGTATGCACGTACACCAAAAATAAAGTAAGACATATCATTAAGACCAGTAATGTAGATATATGTATCAGTTGAATTACATAGTCGTAATATTTGAGTATTAAAGTCATCATAATTTATCATCAAACAGTTATCAGACTGTAAGATATGATATCCTATCTCATATGTGATAATGGGATAGTCTGATGGAATATAACTAGGTACACTCCATGAGATAACAGCCCATGTAGTGTCCATGATA